TGAATATCTAAATTCAATTTGACATATTAAACATGTTATCGGAGTTTCGGAAATAAAACTGCAACTGTAATCATCGAAGTTTCGATCAATTTTTAATTGAAGCACTAAACTTTAATTTGTGTCAACTGATTTACTAAACTTCAATTTTACTTTCAAATTTCACCACCATATATTGTATCTCATCCCAAATTAATGATAATTGCTTAATTAACAGTCATAACACAACTGATCTTTCACATAATCAACATGACTTGTAAACTTAACACTACATTGAGTCATTAAAGTGTTAAAATAAAAAAACAAATATTTTAACATTTTAATCTAAAGACATTATTATAACCTTCATTTTATTGTTTTCGTTTGTAGGGTGCTGAGTAGTGATTATATGAAAGACTAGTTATGTACAACTGTCAATTATACAGTTTTCTTCAGTTTGAAGGGCGATAGGTGACAGAATGGGATAGAATGATGAAATTCGAAGCTAAATTGAAGTTCACTGATATAGTTGATACAAATGAATGTTTAATAATCCAATTTAGATTTCGTTTGAAGTTCAATGACCACGAATGAAATTTACCAAATACTATTTTCGTGTTTACTCTGATCTTGTTATATTATTATTGATTGGTTTGAAAAGCAACTCAAGTCTAAAGCCAATGTAGGTGCACGCGCGCACCAAATATATTTTTAAATTATTTTTAATCACACGTTCTGTGAAGCCTATAATTCTTTTTTATCTTTAATTATACATTTTTCAAAAACTTATTTTTCACTTAAAAAATTTATACCAAACAAGCTTTAAGTTATCGTTATTATTAAAGTATTTATAAGTACATTAAAATTTTCAAACAAAATCAAGGGTCCTACGGATTTCAGGTGGATTTTATGGACGGCAACGAGATGAGGCATCCAGTACTCACCTAGATCCCTGGAAAATCCCCCACCCTGTTTATATATATTTTTTATTCCAATAAATTCTAGGGTAATTTGGGAATTGGATTAATGGGTTTCATTACCGTGTTCGGGTTGTGACATTAAAAAGTTGGACTAAGGTTATTTTAAATGAAATTTGATTTTTATTCAAAATAACTAGACAATTAGGATGGGATAGAGATTCCCGTCCCCGTTCCTACCCTGCTGCTTCGATGGAGCGAGGAACCACGAGTTTAAATTTGTAAAAAAACTTTAAAAATGAAGTGATATATGACTGTAATCTGTTATGATAAATGATTGTGTTTGTAATCAGTTATATTATATAATTGTGACCATTTGATTTTTGAAAAAAATAATAATGTTTGATTAATGATATTAGAACATAAAAAAAAATGATTTCAAGTAATTTTCTCAAGAAATTTTTTAACGTATTCCCTTCCGGGTTGTATCTAGTTTGTTATTTTTAACTACTTACTTTA